TAAATTTTTAAAAAAATTGTATTCAAATAAAAAAAGGCTAACAAGCTTAATATACACACTTGAGATAGAAATGTATTACTTGCGTCTTTTTAATTGAATCGACTATAGCTATTTTAGGTTGTTTTTATGATTTCATCCTTCTGAAAGTGAATCTTCAATTAGATTGTGGGCGTAATATATATATTCAATATAGGTAAGAAGGCTTAGAGAGCTAAAATCTGAGCAATCGTATTTGTCTCTTTTTACTTTTTATCTTTTTAGTAAAAGTATAATAGGAAGGAATATTCAACTATCCGTATACATTTAACCATGTATATATTTCTAATACGGGTTTTTATTAGGTACATGCGTTGCAAATTCTCTAAAAAAAATGTTCTATATATCCGTGTGTTACAAATTTTTCAAAAACCATGTTGAGAATGAGTGATTCAAAACTATTAATTTGAAGGTTTTGAGGCAAATCAGAACTGAAAGCTAAAGCGGTTGTAAACTTGTAACTTGATTTGTCAATGAGTTAGACAAATTTTTGTGGCGGTATTAGATTGTTACCATGACTACGACCATTCTTTTCTCTCCATAGATGGTTCAAAACAGTTTGAAACAAGTAGCCGATCATGAAAGAATGTACCTTCATCATCATGATCATTGCCATTATATCATCTACTGTATGAGCAATGTGTCGAGCACTTAGGGGCCACACGTCAAAGTCTCTCCAATAAAACGTACTCTCTCTTTCGTCGAGTGGGTTCCAGTTTGTAACTCTCTCTTTCGAAATTTTATATAAAAAATTATATTTAAAGGTTTCCATTACATTGCCAATGCTGATGCGTGTAAGTGGCTATTTTTTTTTCCATGTAGATCTTGATGAACCGGTATGAACTGTTCCTATTGGAGTAGTTTTTCCTAACCGACCAATTTTAATTTAATATATGGAATTTGTTGACAAAAGAAAAAAAAAAAAGTTTCCATTACATAACTAAAACAGGATTATATGCAATGCAATGGATTACCATATTTTGACTTTCACTTTTAAAAATGATGAGGTGATAGTAAATGAATGGATGTTTAATTTTGGTTTGTGTAATGTTTATGTGTGATTTCAACAAATATATGATGAGATTCAATAGTACTATTTTACATGGAATTGCATAAAATAATACAGTATCTAACAAATATTTCAAGACTCAAATCAACTGTTTTCAAAAAGCCTATTTTCAAGAAATAGTCGGGTTTAATTATCATACCCCAAAGTCAAACTAATGAATTCTTTCTCAATTAGAAAAAAAAAATCAAACTATATGAGTTTCATGCAAGCTGTGACAATCCACCTGAATTTCATTGATAAAACTGTTTTAATTAGCCAAATGAAATTTTCTCCTAATCCAAAAATAAACAACAGGTCCAAATCAATCGTAATTCAACTGTTAAAAGACATGAAAGAGTAAGGCACTCAAGTAATTCAAAGAATGTGAAGAATTTGGAAAAAAAAAAAGAATCAAAAGATGATGGAATTGACCAAAAAGATATGGCTCGATCGAGTTGTCTATTTTAATTGTAATCCACAATGTCGGGAATACGTGCTTTTTTAATCCACAACAGTTTATTGGACCTTCAATTTATTACAGTCCCCC